TCCTCCCCTCGCCTCGCCCTGCGGCTCCTCCGTACCAGGATACTTCACCACCACGACCACCGCCACCGCATGTACAGACAGCGGCCCGGCCCCGGCCCGGCGCGCTGCGCCCCTCGTGCACACAAGGCAGTGTCCACTGGCGGCAGGGCAGGGCAGCACTTCCCCCGCAGCGCCCCTCTCGCCCCGCGGGCCAACTGGTCCTCAAACTCCTGAATACTGGATGGATACCTGCGGGCCCTGCGGGTGGAACCGCTTGTGCGCGCGCGCGCGTGTGTGTGTGTGTGTGTGTGTGTGTGTGTGTGTGTGTGAATGTGTGCGAGTGTCTCAGCTTGAGTGTGTGCGGACGCGGACCCACGCCGCGAGGGGCACAAAGGTCCCAGACGGGATTATTGACGAGGTGGTAGCTGGAGTCGCAGAGGAAGGGGGAGAGAGAAGGAAGGGTAGGTAGATTTGAGGTGGAAGTGGGCAACAATGTGAATAATAATAAGGCAAAATAATAAGAAAAGCTAAAATAATGCATGCATATGAGAAACGAGCCACTCGTCCGCGAGGAAGGGAATAATAAAGGAGCCAACGCATATATGCAGCGGCCGTGCAAGTTGTGTGTGGTGCGCGCGCGATACAGCGCAGCAGCGTACACATCGCTCCACCCCCCCCCCCCAATTCCCTTTTTCCTCGGCATCTCGAAAGGATGCAGGAGGACGGCAGAGTTTGCGCGGTGGGCGATCCCTTCGCGGGAGGGGAGGGGCAAAGGTTTGAACACTGACTGCTTCTCATAAATAAAAGAAAACTAACTCAATATGTCCATCGAGTAATATTACAGTTTTTATTTTTAATGGAAAGTTTTCTGAAACCTACAACTACTTTATTTACAGTGGTTAAGAGGAATAAGGGGGGAGGGGGAGGGAGCGGGGTGGCAGACGAGCCGCAGTCCAGCCCATTCGAAACCGCACACGGCAACACAACCCATCACGCACAAAACCCATCCACACACACAAACGCGCGCGCGCCGGCCCACAGCAGCGACAGATAGCGAGAGGACCCCCATGACCACCAAACAATTATATCGGGGGACGCCGAAACGCCGCGAGAGCGCGGGTGGCGGTCTGGTCCACCACCGCGGTCCAGCCCGCGGGGGTCCGCGACCACCGACAGCCCACCCATCGCCAACGGTAATAGCCACGGGCGCGCGAGACCGCGAGAGAGACCCTACCAAATATGTAACTAGGCCTAACATATAATTTTTGTCCAATAATATAAACATAGAATTCAAACAGGCCAAAATAATATTGTAAAAAATGAGACGCAGAAAATAAGATGATTTGTGCAAGTGCGACTAGCATTACGTGCGAAATAGACGAGCTGAAGCGACGAGGAGGGGGGGGGGAGCGGTTGGTAAATGGAACGAAGGATGCCTCCACTCCCTAATTTAGTTTTCGGGCAAACAATGGCCAGCAGAGCGAGCAGCACACTCCCCCCCCCCGCACCCCACACCGCTCATCGCCGGTCTTCACCTCGGCACGCCGCTGCACGCCGCTGCACGCCACTCTGATTTAATTGCATTATTCGCAGATATCCTCGTTCCCTCTGTCCTGCTTTTAGTGCACGTTTTCATGGAAGAGCGAGGTGGGCTGATGGAGCAAAGGAGGGGGGGGGGGCATCAAGCGTGACGACAGCAAGGGCGGCGTCCCCTAACCACGTGCAATTCTCATAGAATTTATCCATAACGCCATAAACTGTAATTTTCAGAGGGGTAAAAGGGTTAGAGATAGTAGGGGTAGAGGGGGGTGGGGGGAAACGCTTGAGGCGAAAGGGGGTTTCCGACGATGCGACGGCGTCTGTGTGGCCGCAGGGTGCGGGGTATGTAAGACGAGCAAGAGCACTCACAAGCTCACACTGCACTGCTGGGAGTTGAGCAGTAAGGGGAGGGGAAGATGGTGAGGGGGTGGGAGAGAGAGAGAGAGAGAGAGAGAGAGTGAAGTGAACGAGACATAAACAGAACGGCGGGTGGCTGGCCGCTGGCCGCGGGCCGCTTGTGGATCGCAGGGCGGGCCGCCCGCCGCACCCACTCGTCGGCCGGTTGCCTACCCCCCGCTCTGCAGGGGCTCTGGCGAGCTGCGGCGGGCTGGGCAGACGGAATGTGGATTAGGAGAGTCC